CCTTGTGTTGCGGGGGACGGATGTCAGCATTCTCGACCAGCATCATGTCTGGAGCAAAAAGGCGCATGAATAAAAAGAACAGTTGTCGTTCGATGCGTTTTTACACAAGGAACTATACAGATGGACTAAAACAACAGAGCCCCAACTATATGTGTTTATTTTATCAAATTGTCTTAACAAGGGTAAATACATGATATTAACAGTATTACCCATTATTTCAGGAAATAAAAAGTGGCCAAATAATATCATTATGTAACACCGAGATTTCACAAATTTTTCTTGTTCGGTGGAGTTTTCGGTTATTACGAGACTATTATGATATTTTCCAAGAAGATGGAGATTAAACCTTGGCCTCTAGACCCTTGTTCAAATAAAGAGACTCCCAAAAGTTCCTCGCATATGGCATTGTCTTGGTTGACTCGTCCATTGACATCCTTACCATTGATCGGTAGACCGAATAACATGTACACATCCTCTAGTGTGACTGTATATTCACCACATAGAAGATGAAAGGTGTGAGTTTTGGGTCTCCATCTCTCCACTAATGCGAGAATAATTTTATAGTCAACATGGTAATTGATTATGTTGAGTAACGGACCAAAACCGACATGTCATAAGTACGATTCAATTTGTACGTCGTAAGGGACATACTCGTGGACACGACAACGAAATCTTTTAACATCCTATAAAAAACATGAATTATGTATAAGAAATATAATATTTACGTATAACAATCATAAGAATTACGAAAATAAAATTTTGTCTATAAAATATAGGTATTGAAGAAAATAAACTTACAAATGTTTCAATATTGTTGAGAGTTCCTCTATGTTGATCACCCATGGTCAAGAGAGCCATTTTTCTTGATTACTCTTGTGTTCTTGTTGATGTTTAGAGAAAGAAATAGTGTGTGAGTTATGATTGTGATGAACATATAGGGTGGATGTTACATGTATTTATAAGAAAATATTGAGGAATACTATGCATTCACGTGACAAAGCTTTGCATGCAAGATACACATAGGCGCCACACTATGTGGCGTATGCTCTTGTTTTATATACTAAGGCGCCATTCAATATGGCTTGTTACTTTTTGCATTCATGCAAAGCTGCATCATGGCAGTGATCAGATGGCATGAATGCAAGCTTGTTGCTCTCGTGACAAGCCATCCTAGGTGGCACATGCTTGCAAAATAAAGAGGACAAGCCACCCTAGGTGGTGCATGCTTGCAAAATAAAGAGGACAAGCCACCCTAAGTGGCGCATGCTTACAAAATAAAGAGGAAAAGCCACCCTAGGTGGCGCATTAGTGGTATATACCCCATACTTTCATCAGTATATTTAAGCGTCTATTGAAGGCGCATTATTGGTATACATTCATAACTCACAAAAAACATACCTCAACAGATGGATCATTCACAAAATTATACTATTGTTGCTCATATTAATGGTGACACGTTCAACTGCGATAACTTCGATTTTAATTTTTGTAATACCGATTTTATCCGCTTTCAGACAAACAAGAAATCAAGTTTTACATGCTTCAAATATAGACTAGAAGCCAAATTGCAGTGTGGTCCAGTTTACCAAATTCTTTACAAGTCTCGATTTCTATTTGACAACAACCAAGTCATATTTTATCAACTAAAGGTGCGCGATAATGATGATGTTCGAAACATGTTTCGAACTCATGAACAATATGGGTTCAATGAGATTGAGTTATATGTTTTATTACAATAACCATATCAATATCATGTGGTAGATCCTTCTCAATATTTTGAAGAAGAGGATGAATCTGACGAGGATAACCATCCTGAAGTCGATGTTATTGACCAAGAAGAAGAAGATCTCAATGATTGATTGTATGGTCAATGATGACACTGCAGATCAAGAGCATTAACCTCTACCTACGATTCATACGTACAACCCTCTATTTCACACGACGAACTTGAATTTGGAGGAAGATGAACCAACCTCAGATATCTTTCACAATCCTTATATGCAGACCGAAGAGGCCTTGAAAGTTGGAGACAAATTTCGTACAAAAGAAGAGTGTCTTAGAGCTATCAAAAAACACCACATAGAAATTTTAGTTGACTTCAGTATAAATCGAAATAATTCATGGAGGTACATTATTTTATGTCATAAAAAACCAATTTTCCCTTTTCGATTAACTGCATCTTACATAAAGAGAAGTGATTCATGGGAAATATGTACCATTGATCCACTCCACACTTGCATCATCATCGTTCCGACACAGGATCATCGGAAACTTAGTTCTCCACTAACATGTCAAGAAATCTTGCCTCTTATTAGCAAGGATCCATCATTAAAGGTGAGTAAAATTATTTCTCAAATCGCTACAAGATTCAATTATACTCCTCTTACAGGAAGGCAGGGATCGGGAGGACTAAGGCAGTTGAACTTGTGTACGGTAATTGGGAGGAATCGTACAAAGAATTTCCAAAAATTTTGGTGGCACTCAAATATTATGCTCTGGGAACTGTTATAATTTTGGAGACACTCCCGACATTTACCCCCAGACAGAACTCTTGTTAGTGGAAATGAAATATTTCATCGATTATTCTGGGCGTATGAACCATGCATCAAGGATTTTTCATTTTACAAACCTATTATACAGGTTGATGGAACTTGGTTATACGAAAAGTATAAAGGAACATTATTCATGGCAGTGGCACAAGATGGAAACAATGATATTTTTCTGATTGCCTTCGCTCTAGTTGAAGGTGAGACAGGTGGTGCATGGAATTTCTTTCTGAAGAATCTCCGATTACACGTTGCTCCTCAACCCAATATTTGTTTGATTTCAGACAGACATTCATCGATTGTGAGTGCATACAATAACCCTGATAACGGTTGGCAGGATCCCCCTTCAACACATGTCTATTGCATAAACATATCACACAAAACTTCATGCTCCATATCAAAGACAAGACACTTCGAAAGAAAGTTGTTAATGCAGGATATGCCTTAACAGAACCGTCATTCTGACACTATCGCAAAGAAATCCGGTTGATAAACTCGGAAGCATTAAGGTGGATCAATAACATTCCAGTAGAGAAGTGGACTCGGGAATTTGACAATGGTCAGCGATGGGGCCACATGATAACAAATTTGGTGAAATCATTGAACTTTGTCTTTAAAGGCATCCGAAACCTACCAATTACTGCTTTGGTTAGAGCAACATATTTTAGGATTGGGTCATTGTTTGATACAGGAAGTTCAAAATGAAGGGCATTGTTACAATCAGGGCAATTATTCAGTGAATGCACACTGAAAACATTTAACGAGGAGGCTGCCAAAACAAACACCCATAGTGTCACCGTGTTTGACTGTATTCAAGGTTGGTTCAGTGTACAAGAAATAATGGATCATAATGAGGGGTGACCAAGGGGATATTATCGGGTCAAACTAGATAAAGGTTGGTGTGATTGCGAAAAGTTTCAAGCATTTCGCATGCCTTGCTCTCATGTCATAGCGGCATGTTTGCATGTTTGCTTGGACCCAATACAACATATATCCCCCGTTTATGCAGTAAAGAGCGTTTTAAGTGTGTACATCAATACCTTCTCTGTGTTGGCAAATGAGGATTATTGGCCTGATTATCAAGGGGACATTGTTTGGCACAATGAACAAATGCGATGGAAGAAAAAGTGGCGCTCCAATAGCACTCGTATTAGAACTTAAATGGATATGACCAACAAAATGATAAGATTATGCAGTACATATCGTCTTCCCGGACACAATCGAAAAAATTGTCTGAATATTGGGTCTAGCTCTGCAACCTAATTTTTTTATAGTAAACTTTCCGGAGTAATTAATTTGTTGTACGTAAAAAATTTCAATTTAAATTTGGGTTATCATGTCGTGTTCAATTTATTATTCGATTACAACAACCTTCACATAATGATCCAAAAAATTACAATACCATAAAGTCAGGACAACAACACAACAACATGATAAGCAGACAAAACAACTAAACACATCATAATATCTAAGAGATAAAAATCATTAACACAATATCGTCTGGTCCAAGCATCGTCATCATGACATCAACGTTTCATCTCACCTTTTTCCATGATCGACTTACTCAATTTCCGTTCCTCACTGTAATTTGTCTTTCTATTTTTCTGATTTGCTCACCTTCATGAATGGCTCCTTCCAACCAGCGAATCAAGTGACTCTGAAAATACTCGAACGTCCACGTGTTCCAGAGTTTGATCTTCATCGGAGGCTTTGTCGTCGAAAAAATAACATGCGCATCTCTTTTGATCAGTGAAAACCTTGACAAGGGAGTGGAAGACATTTTCTAATGGTGATGTGAGAAATTGTGTGAAAAAATGAAGAAGATGAGTGATTGCATTTATAGAAAATCATATACAACTGTTAAGCCACACTAGGTGGCGCCTCCTCTCTATTATTGCATGCATACACCACACTGCATGACTTTACAAAAGATGACAAGTCATATAGTATGACACCTCCTTTCTAATTTGTATGCATGCGCCACACAAAGTAACTACTCCTTTGTGTGTCGGATGTTTTTTGTTTGAAAAATAATTAGTTTAATAAATTTTTTGAAAATGTAATTATTTAAAAAAATTATAAAAAAATATTTAAAAAAAAACTCCGATCTCTCACTATAGAGTTATAAGCCGTTGTCATCATCTCTTTATTACACACTAAGTATCATCAAATTGTTGTGTATCCACCGTACTATAACACTATTCCGCAACCGAATATTGACACTGACCCATCAGCAACTAGTTTCATTTCCTCTAATCATTATTTTTAAAATCAAAATCCATCCATGTGTGATAGTGATAGAGATTGGTTTACGCAAAAAAAGAAAAGTAAGAAAAAACTTGTAAAGAACACATTACATATTCCAAAACCATCACAAAAGAAAGCCAAAGCAAACAATAAAGCACTTATTATTATTCTTTATCCTATTTCGTCTTCAACTATCCACCACCATACATGGCGCGGGAATGCAGCGCCAACCTCTGCACGTGCTGCACAAGCTTCATCACCAGCACAGGCCTTGTAATCCTCTTCCTCTGGCTCACACTCCGAACTCAACAACCCAAATGTTTCCTCCAATCACTCTACCTCCCCTCTCTCAACAAAACCATCACTTCAAACCACGAACACTCCAACAACACGGTTATCTTCAAACTCAAACTCATCAACACAAACAAAGACAAAGGTGTCCTATACCACACTGTTCATCTCACATTCGCCCTCCTCCTCGACGCCAACACCACGCGCCCACTCGCTAACACCACTCTCGAAGCTTTTTACCAAGGACACGGTAGAACCACCCAGAAATGGAGCTCCGCTGAAGCACACGGCGGTGGAGTCAACAGCACGGTCAACGGAACCGTCTTCTTACGCGTCGATTTCGCCACGCGCGTTAACTATAAGATTATGCTTTTCTATTCCAAACGACACCGTTTGTCTGGAGGGGCAAATGTGGAAGTTAATGTTAGCTCCGGGGAGAAACTGGACCCCAAAGGAATCAGGCTCGGGTCCGAAGCTGCCCCGCTTCGTCTACGCTGGATTGCTCTTTCTACATTTTTAGTTTCTCTATGCTTTTACATGACTTACTAATTTGCTTCATTTTTTATTTTTCAATGTATTTTACAAAGTGATCGAAATTAATTGAATAATGAATTCAGTTAATGATGAATGGTAGTGAAATTTTTAGACGGTAATAATCACTAAAAATCACCACACAATTATGAGTATCCAAATTTGAAATATGATGATGACATTTAACCTATCAGTATCGACTTTTGCAAGTTGATATAGGATTTGCAGACACTTAACTTCCTTTTTGTTGGTGTAACATAATGGAATGAGAGAAAAAGAATGAACAATGAATGATAACAAAGAGGACTACTTCTTAATATTCAAATAGATGAATGAATTTTGGGATACAATATTGATAGCCTAGGTAGCATATTTATACTAGAAATTGAAAATGCCAAAAGGCCCTAATAAAGAGTAAGTATTGGGAATTGTGGACATTAAATAAATTACATTTCTAATATCATCCCTTAATTTAGATAATCTATCAGAAGTTAACAACATCAATTTCATCTCTTAAGCAAAGAAATTGATTTGTTTTAACTGCCTTCGTCAGAAGATCTGCAAGCTGTTTCTGAGTGCTACAGTGCAGAACTTCTAACACTCCTTTCTGAACTTGATTTCTAAGAAAGTGATATTTCGTCTCAATGTGCTTGCTTCTTCCATGTAGCACTGGATTCTTGGCAAGATCAATTGCAGACTTATTATCAATCATCAGCTTCAGAGGTTCCTCAACCTCAACCTTTAAATCATGCAGGAGATTCAGAAGCCAAACTGCTTGACAAGCAGCTACAGCACCTGCGATATACTCAGCTTCACATGTTGACAGAGCTACAACAGGCTGTTTCTTGGAACTCCAGGAAATGGGACCTCCCAGAAATTTAAACAAGTATCCAGAGGTACTTCTCCTGTCCACTCTGTCTCCGCACCAGTCAGAATCAGAATAACTTACTAACTCTGACTTTGTCTTTCTTTCAGAAGGAAACAACACTCCATATTTCAGAGTTTCCTTAATATATCTCAGAATTCTGACAGCAGCTTGGAAATGAGGCCACTTGGGATTACTCATGAATCTGCTGACCAATCCAACTGCATAACAAATGTCAGGTCTAGTATTACATAAATACCTTAGAGAGCCAACCAGCTGTTTGAAGGTTGTAGAATCAACAGAATTACCATCAGAGTCAGAATCCAATTTTTGATTGGTTTCTGATGGTATCACAGCAACTTTGCAGTTCTGCAGCTTAAATCTCTTCAGAAGTTCTTGTTCATATTTTAACTGGTGCAGAATGATACCCTTCTTCGAGTACATAATCTCCATTCCTAGGAAATATGTCATTTTTCCTAGATCTGTCATCTCGAACTCATTCATCAGAACTTCCTTGAACTTCTTTATATCTTCTGGGCAGCTACCTGTTAGCAAGATGTCATCAACATAGAGACACACCATAATCATATTGCTATCAGAGTGTTGTACATAAACTCCATATTCCACCTCACACTTCTGAAACCTCTGCTTCTTGAAAAATGAATCAATTTTCAGATTCCAAGCTCTAGGCGCTTGCTTCAGTCCATACAAAGCCTTATTTAACCTGTATACCATCCCTTCCTGATTCTTTTTCATAAATCCAGGAGGTTGTGACACGTAAACTTCTTCCTGTAATGGACCGTTCAGAAATGCTGACTTCACATCCAGGTGCATTAAAGGCCAGTTTCTGTTTGCAGCTAAAGTAATCACCAGTCTGATTGTTTCATGCCTAGCTACAGGTGCAAACACCTCAAAATAATCTAGCCCAGGTTTCTGAAGAAAACCTCTAGCTACTAGTCTAGCTTTGTGCTTGCCAATGGAACCATCTGGCTTAAGTCTCAACTTAAAAATCCATCTGACACTGATGGCTTTTTTCTTATCTGGAAGTTTAGTCAATTTCCAAGTTGTGTTCCTTTCTATTGCCTCAAGTTCTTCTTTCATGGCATTAAGCCATTTTTTCTTCTTGAGAGCTTCTTCAATGCCCACTGGTTCAAAATCTACTAACATGGCACACTGAACGACTTCTCCTTCAGAGTCAACGTCATTATCCTGCAGCATGTCAAAATCTGCAAACCTTCCGGGTTTTTGTCTGATTCTTTGTGGTCTTTGAGCTTGTTCTGAAGCTGCACCAGAACTACTACTTTCAGAGTTACCACCTTCAGAGTTTTCCCTTCCAGAACTATGATTACCACCAGATTCTGGATCATCATCAGTATCTGGATCTTCTTCTAACTCATCTTCAGAATCTTCAGGATCTTCAGAATCAGATTCATCTTTTGATCTTTCTAAAACATCTTCAGAGGATAACTCTGGTGTTGGCACTACACCAGAATCAGATTGAGATTTGTTCCAATCCCATGCTTCAGACTCTTTCACCACAACGTCTCTGCTGACTTCAACTTTATTAGTTTATGGACAATAAAACTTATAAGCACCTGTACTGTGGTACCCCACCAGCAACATTATTTTGCTTCTATCATCCAGTTTTTGTCTTCTAGCTTATGGAACGTGTTTGTAACAGACAGAGCCAAACACCTTCAGATGAATGACACTCTGCTTATCTCCAGTCCATTTCTCTAAAGGAATAACTTCCTTCAGTTTCTTCGTTGGACACCTGTTCAGAATGTATGCTGATGTGGCAACAGCTTCTCCCCATAGCACGTGAGGTAGCTTTTTCTCTTTCAGCATGCTTCTGGTCATATCAAGCAGAGTTCTGTTTCTTCTTTCAGCAATACCGTTGTGCTGAGGAGTATATGGAGCAGTAACCTCATGTTCTATTCCACTTTCCTCACAAAACTTTTGAAACACTGTAGAGTTATACTCACCTCCACCATTTGTTCTCAGAATTTTTAACTTCTGACCACTCTGCTTCTCAGCCTTCACCTTGAATTTCTGAAACTCAGTAAACACTTCATGCTTGAATTTGATAAGTGTTTACAGTGATTTCTGGTAAACAACCGCTAGTCCTCCAAACTATCGAATAAACTTACTGACTGTTATTCAATTTCTCTAGTAACTCGCAGGATCGACTAGATTGATCCTAGGACGTGTTGGTCATTAGGGTAACTCTCATGATCGAACAGGTATTCATGGTTGGTATTTAGAATGTTGTGTAGGTGTTTGACTTATTTCGATTTCTCTCTTAAAGATCTAAAGGTGTAATCAAAATATATGTGCGCGAAACTAAATTGCATGAATAAAAGTTAATTGTAAAGACATGTGAAAACTGCATAAAAGACAAGTAAATGACTTCGAAACGTAAAGAAAACAGTTAATGTAAAAGATTCGAAATATGAAGAAAGCGTTTAATGCAAGAAAACTGTAAGATTGCTTTAAGTAAAAAAGGGTGTTCGAAGGATAGAAACTTGAAGATAAAGGCATGAAATGTATGACAGTTTCTGAAAGGTAAAGTACTTGAAATGGAAAGAAAGCATTTAAATGTAAGGCATTAGTGAAAAGATTTTGAATAAAAAGACTTTAGATGCAAAAACTTGTAAATGGTATTGACATAAAGATAAGGAAAGTACTGGAAATGATAAAGGGTTTTCATTAAATCATAAACATGTGGTGTTATCATACGTACATTGCTCTTGCATTCTTTTCCCTAGCCATGTGGTAATTTGAATGTTTACTGAGTTTTTTGTACAAATAGATATGACACACGAAATCCTAATGCTAAGACTTCTATTTATACTACTTCGACCATAACGGTCTTGCTATAAGATTCTGCCACGTTCAGAACATGCAGAGCAATGCCTCTCTTTTGCTTCCACGTGTCTTCGAATGCTCCAGCGCATATATTTTAAATTTCGAACATCCCGCTTGCATTTGAATTTCAAATGTTTTGGCACTTCTTCGCTTCGAACGCACTTCTTAGACACAACCTTGTTGTCATTTCGAGACTTCTTTGGATATATTCTCATAATTGTCACTCGAAGCTCCAAGCTTTGATATGCTCATTCGAAGCATTGCTTCTACTATTTCGAAACATGACATTTTGTTTCATTTCGATCGAAACGTCCAATTTACTTTGCTTCTAATAATATTATCAAAATCTTCAGCCAACAAAATGCCCCTTTAAAATATGTATTTCTATTCCTTTGAGAAATACTTATTTTAAACATATACACAAGATTTTGATGCGACCTTCGAATCATCGTAACATTTATTGCATTTGACTCCAGTCACGTCAATCATAGCACTTTTTAGATTCCTTAACCGCCTTGAACCATTTCACAGTATGGTGCAGTTACAAAACAATGATTATCTTTAATCACGCCTATTACCAATGTTAACTTTACGCCACCTCTTCATCAAACCAACCCATGATTACCACGTATCACAACCTTACTCAGTGGATACTTAAACTTCCACATTATAAAAACCCATCAACTTAGTCTTTTTCTTTTCTTCCCACATTCTGAATCTTTTCTCCTTATTTTCTCACCGAAACCCTAAGCTTTCAACATTCTTCCAACAATGTCTTCTTCTACTTCATCCCAACTAAAAAAGGTTTCCAAAAAGAAAGGAAAGACCGCAGGAACTACAATGGAAAGCAAGGTTGTCACTCACCAAGGTCAATCTGTTCTTGTTCCCCATATGATATCAAAGGAGAAAGAAATGCTTTATGCATCCCAGGTACTTATTCCTACCATCGCTGCTGGTAAGAGGTTAGCTTTAATGGGGCCTCTTACAGTTTTTGAAATTCTAAAAGACACCAGCAAAATTTTCCCAGTTTGCTATAATTTCAAACCCCTGTTTAATAAAATGGACGCCCCTAAGGCAATAGAATCTTCTGGCTCAAACACCGTGGAAAATCCAACTGTTCCTCCTAAGGACCCTTTTGTATTAGACTATGTAAAGAGTAACTTCAAACCATTTCGATCTTGCCCTACCTCCGACACTGCTTATCAAAACTGGTTCAATAAGGTAGAAGCTAAGAAATCCCAGCAATGGGAAGAATTAGGTATCTACAACTTGATTAAGCTGTCGA